CATCCACCACCATCATCTCACTGGAGTGGGGGCCATATTCTCTTTGCAAGGGCATTCGCCCCTTTCAGTAGGGGAGATTTTGCTGGCTCTTGTCTCCACTGGCAACTAATAATAGCAGCACCAGTGACTTTATCTTGGAGAGGGCCTACGCTGACTGCTCTAGGAGAAGTGACCCTTTCCGGTTACGGGACTCGCCTAAGGCCACTTAGGCAGATGGGCATCTGAGCAAAGCAAACCTGCCCAGCCTCAGACCATCTGCTCCTTCCCAATCCTACTGCCTTTCCTTCTCTTCATTGCAGAACACTTTTCTCTCAACTTATTTCTCTGAGATTTGGAGCTTTTTTTTTTTTTTTAAATTAGGCAGTTAAAATTATATTTTTTGGTTATTTTCCAGTTTAGGGTGATTGATTTTCTTCTTTGAGTCTCAGAATGAGTCTTGGAAGTATGCTAAGTATTATGCCACTTAGCAGATGGGAGGCTCAGTCTGATTTACCTAAGATGCCTTGCATAGTTATGCATGGAACCTGGATTTGAATATTCCAGGCTGAGGGTGAAAAAAATAGAAGCAGAAGCATCAGGATGCTATAATGGAGGAGTGAGTTAGTGTGCAATTTTAAGACAGTGGTGACAAGAAACGGTCTCTACTGTGGGGTACATAGTTCCGAATTGTTGGTTGCAGTTCAGTTAAGGTAACTGAGTGTTTCTGTAGGCTTTAAATGAGTTAGGCAGATACATCTGTGGAAGCCAAATAGTTTGATGGATACTTCAGCTACAAACCTAATTGATTTCTCATAGATTCTCCAGTGCCAAGCAAGCCAGATGCTGTGTTAGGATTTTTTGTGGGCATTCCCCCCTACCAAGAATAGCTAATAGTCAATAATAACAAAGAAGAACAGTGACCAGTTTGTATTTTAATGAGAAGAAAGAGCACACAGCTATGCCACTGACCTAAGTATTTTTACCTTTGCCAAAGTATACATAATCCTGATACAATTGGAGTTTTTGTCTGAGAAGAAGCATTGTTAGCCTCCTGCTTGCTTGCTCTGAGTAATTTTCTGGCAACCTCGGTAGACATTTAGAAGATTGAAGTGCTTTCTCTGGTATATTTTAGCATGAGAAATGAACGCTGTGTTCCGCGTGTGAGTCAGATGGTGTCGGTGCTGGCTGCGGTGCTTCGTTGCACATTCTGACGTCGTCTTCCTGAAGCAGGTGTAACGCAAAGCCTAACGTGAAAGCTTGTCTCTTCTGACTCGGTACATTCCCATCAGACCTAATTTTTAAGTTTAAACAAATTTCTTTCAATTTGAGTTTCTAAAAATGAAGTTTCCCAGAATTAAGACTAAGCCAAGAATTGATAAATTGAAAACGTGTGTGAATCTAATGTTTCACAGGACGCTATACATTAGCCTCTGTGTCCACGGTCATGTGTCATCCTGGTGCCCACTTTGGTCAAGGTTATTTGAGGAAATAGCCATCTAAGTTAAGGGATATTTTCAGTAGTTTACATTTTGTTAGACTTGCAAATTGCTGTCGGCATTTGAAGGATTGTGGTACTTCTTAGTGAAGTAACCTTGTGCTGTAATGTTATGTAAGTTTCATTTGTGCGTGGAGAATCCACAGGTGTATCTGCTGGACTAGGCGCATCGCGGGAACCCACTTCCATCCCTGAGAGCCATTGTCCCTCTTCCCTGATTTATCCGCCCGGTTCCCCTGCCTTCTGTTCTGGTAAACACAGGCAGGGAACCGGGAGGCAGCACTGGCAAGCTGGCCACAGATCCGAGACAGCATAGCGCAGGGCAGGCAGAAGGGGCGCAGCAGGGGCCGGAGGGCACAGGGGACTGTGTGTGTTGCCCGGGTCCTGGGTGGCTGGAGGACGATGGGACTGGACCCGAAAGGAAAAGTCAAGTGTTTTGCAAAAGCCAACAGTGATGTAGGAGCACAGCACATGCATTTAAGGAAGGGAATGTAAATAAAGATGGACAGAGCATCTGAAGAGGCGCTTCTCTGCGAAGACACACAGGTGGCAAAAGGTAACGTGGAAAGGTGTGTGTAGTCCCTGACTGCTAGGGGAAGGCAGACCAGAACCACGTTGAGAGCACCTCACTCTCGTGACAATGACTGTTGTCCACTAAATAAGAAGCAACACATGTTGGAGAGGACATGGGAGACGGGAACCTGCAGATGCAGTTAGTGGGGAGATAAACTGGTGGAGTCATGATGAAAACACCATGGAAATGACTTAAAAATCAAAGTAGAAATTTCATATGATCTAGTCATCCCACTCCTGAGTTTTTACTTGAAAAAAAAATCACCGATTCAAACAGATATATGCACCCCTACATGTACTGTAGCGTTATTTTAAATAGCCAAGAATGGCTGATGAAAGGATAAAGAAAACATGGTTTATCTATGCAGTGGAATACTATACAAGCATAGAAAAGAGGAATTCCTTCCATTTGCAGTAGCATGAGTGAACCTAGAGGGAAAGGTGATTAATGAAATAAGCCAGATAAAGAAAGACAAATACTGATTTCACTCATATGTGGTATATAGAAAAAATAAGCAGATGAACTAAATAAAGCCAAAACAAACTTTGGATTGTATGCAATTTATCTATTTTAAGGAAGATTTGGTGAATTTCTTTTTTTACGTTTCTTTTTTTTATTGATGCAGCATTGCGTTATAGTATTAAATGAGCTTCAGGTATTCATCTTTCAGTATCAACATATGTTTCCACTACTCTATGGTTGAAATACACCTAGACTTTAGTGGTCAAATTTAAAGTAGTTTTTTTTTTTTCTCCAAAAGTTAACACGCTATAGTCGTCATTCTCTTGCTTCAAATGAACAGCATATATTTTGAAAGCAAAAATTTTAAATGTTACTTAGAAAGTGCCTTATTTTGGAAACAGTAGAACTGTTTTGATTGTTGTGAAGTACAAAACTACTGATTTGTGTTTTCAAGCACTGTTTCTGCAGTATAGCATCCATTTTAGAGCGGATTACTAAGAAGCAAGTGATGTTGCCGAAAAGTTTCTAATGGAGAAAAATGACAACATGCAAAGCTAATGATACAACTATCTTATTTTGTTAGATTATTGAGAGTGTGACATACCCATTACATGCACATTCTTATCTTCTAAATAGGTTGTATAATTCGTATCTCATTTTTCAGAAAGGGAAACCAATCATTGGAAAAATAACAGCTAACAAATAGTGAGGTCAAGATTCCTGCTTAGGGGCTCTGTTCTGGCATTCAAGTTCTTAGCTATATGAGAAACTGATTCTGAAGCAATTATTGATGTTGTTCTGAAGACAGCCCAGTGGTGGGTTGGGATCGGCTCTGAAAGATGCCTGAGCACTATAGTTAGATATTTAGAAATTTCATGAGCGGGATTTGTAGATATGGGTACTTTCAAATTAGCAAAACTGCCAATCCAGAGTCATTATTCTATTCTGAGAATTGGTTCTCTAGCATATTGTTAGTAACAGAGGACTCTGTCCACACTCCTTGCTGAAGTGTCTTCTAAACCACATTTTACATGCATATGAATGAAATAAAGACTTTTACCTTCCATCAGTTTTTTTTTTCTAGTAGCATTTATCTTGACCTAACAAATTGTAGTTGGTGTAGTCAATAAATACCAAAGAACTTTTTCCTAAACTTCATAGCAGAAGAGAACCTCTACTCTAAATTCTAAACTTTTGTCTGAGGGTTTTGAAAATCCTTCTCTGATTGCTAGAGTCACAAACAGTGGCTGCATTCAGATTTGAGAGGTTCTTTTGACTAGTGGCTGAATTCCTCAGAGGAGGAAGGGAAAGAAATTGGGTGGAGCATACAAAAACCCACGACATGATAAAGACTTCCAGAGAAGGTGTGTTCATTAAAAACAATACAGAATGAAAGAAAACATGGGTCCAGAAGGTTTGGGGTGGTATGATAATCTGAGAGGCCTGATTTTATGCTTCTTGGACCATTTCAGAATACTTTTAATTTGGAACCTTGGTACTTCATCTTTCCTTGAAACCACAAAGCATCATTCTCTGCTGATAAACATCACTGTAATAGTGCTGGTGCAATTTAATAAATACCTTAACATTATAAATAATAGTTTAGATACATTCCATCAGGCTTTCAAATTTATCCTCTTGATGTTATTATGAAGAAGACATAGTTTCACTTTCATCTAGTGTTTAATGTATTTATAATCTTCCATTATGAAAATCTTCCTGTGAGTCTCTTCCCCCACCCAGCTGGATGGTCCGCCGAGTGCTGCGGACGAAAGCTAAAGCATCAGTGAGTGGAAATACATTTATTCGCAGTGGAAATCGTTTTCACTTACTTGCTTATCTTGGTTCAGTTTTTATCTTGGTTCCTTCACCTCTTTGGTAGGTTTGCTTAAATTCATTATTAACTTGAGGCAAATATTTTTTCTGTCCTTTTGAATTTTCTGCTGACTGCCTGGTAGAAGACATGAATACTTGAGAGTCAAAGAATCAACTTTTTGATCCTGACTTGGAAAATGTAGTAGTTGTACTTTGGGAAAGTAACTTTGCTTCCTATTTTCTTATTTATATTCTTTGATAGTAATAATCCTTACCTGAGGCAATCATAAGAGTTATTAATAAAGCTCTGGGTGCAAATGCCTATCAGAATAAACACACAGTAAATGGTAGCAATTTATAGATTAGAAAGAATCTGTGTATAGATAAAAAATGGATTATGTGTGAGCTATATTCACAATATTTTAATGATTTTGGAGCTTATATTAGAGAATTGACAAACCATCTTTTTCTGTGAATTAAACTGATGTATAAGGGGGTAAATTATGTCTGTATGCATGATGGTCATGGACTGTGATGATGAGGATGGTGGTGAAGATGGTGATGATGGTGATGGACTGTGATGATGGTGGTGGTGGTAGTGAGGTAGTGAAGGTGGTGATGGTGATGACGATGATGATGGTGATGATGAATGTGGCTTTCCTTCTTTCCACACAGAATGTCCCTCCAGACCTCTCCATTTGCACCTTTGTTCTGGAACAGTCCCTCTCTGTCCGGGCCCTGCAGGAGATGTTGGCCAACACGGTGGAGAAGTCAGAAGGGGCAAGTACTTAATAATTCACTACTTTAATAAACTTAATTACTATAGAATGTTTTCACTGCGATTAGAGAATTTCTTGCTGGAATAAGTTTATGCCTTTTACTTGTGATTTCCTTAAGTTTGACTTTTTGCTTTATTCAGCAGACCTGTGATGTCTTAAAGAACTTAAAAAATTTTCAACCTCAAGGTGATCTGTGTCATTGAGCTTCATGCTTATGTCTGTGGTTTAAAGTGGAATCTTCTTTTGAACATTTGTGTGTTTTCTTACATTTTCAAGCTGTTCTTGTTACAGTTTTATTTGCTTTGTGCCTGGCTATTTGTCATTAATCTTTATTTCATTTTTAAATGCCTCTAATCATGTGTTTATGTTCTAAGCTTTATGGCAAGTAAGGTTTCATGGCACTCTTACATATATTAAGTAATGAAATTATGCTGATATAATTTTAGTCACTTGTAGTTTTGCAAACATCTAATTATTTTCTTTGGAAAATTGAAATTCTTACTCTGTACCCTAATCAGACACTTTCCTTTGACAGTTTTCTTGAATCCTTTCTTTCTATGACTTGCTAGAACTGATTTTTGGATTTATACCCATTCTTAGCCAACTCACTAAAATGTAGAATTAGAATCAGTGGTAAATTTTTGTATACTGGTTTCTGTGGGATTTTTTTCGTTGTTGCTATAATTACTGCAGTGTGTGGTTTAATAAGGTGTAGTATTTCCAGAAATAAAACTTATTGGTTGCTAGTTATTGTTTGGTTTAAGTAAGTGAAGAGATTAAAGATTACATGATTCAACAGAAAATGAGTGCTAAATTATGATGTAACATGATTTCATCAGATTGTTGATTTAGAAATTTTAATGTCACAGGATTTTAATTGGTTTTCATGTTAATTTACTACTAAGTATGGAGAAACTAACTAGTAACTTTTATTTGATAGCAGATTTATAATTTATTTTATGAAAGACCCAATTATATTATATTTTACTGAAGGGAAATACTTTTGGTGACAACAAAGTTTGAAATTATTGAACTAAGCTATATAAAATTTCTCTTAAAAATTTCTGTTCTTTAATAAAAAGCTTTTAGAGTAGGCTTAAATTAAATAAGAATGCAACATTCAGCTAGTTTAAAGCAGCCTGAATTTTAAACACCGTGAAATAACCCACTCTTACTTTTAAACACCACCAAGACACAGTATAATGGGACAGGATGCAATCTGCAGTTGTTTAGCAACTGCAAGAAAAATAAAAGACAACCGGGCCCTCCCTGGTGGCCCAACAGATCAGAGCACAACAGGTTAGAGCTGTCTGTAGCCCCCACAGCATGAGTTCGATCCCCGGCCAGGGCGGGACCCCCAGCCACAGCAGACCTCTTTTGTTCCCCACTGCTCCCCTCAGCAGTGTATGTCATTCCATCGGCCTTTTTTGCACCCCACTCTGTCTCTGGGGAGTCATCCCACCCCTGCACCTCTTGTCTGTACTCCAGGTCTTATATGCAGAAATAAAAAAAAAAAAAAAAAAAAAGACAACCAAGAGCAGCCCCAGAGTCTACTAGCCAACAAAGTAAAGTTTCTATTACTACTCTGTTCAATGAAGTAAAGGAGAATTGTTTATGGTGAACAAAATAATCAAATACTCAACACAGAAAAAAATGTTTAAGAAATAAAATGGAATTTCTAGACCTGGAATCTACATTGTATGAGAAGATCACATAGCTAGGAAATGGTAGAACTTGGCTATGAATCGCTGTCCACTGGCCGCTAATGTCCAGGCTTTAAACTTTCCTGTGGATAATCTGTGTATTAAGAGGAGAGAAATGGAAAAGCTAAGAGGTGACCATAAAGCCATGGAAAGAACAGGAGAATGAGGCCATGAGGGCTTTGGGGAAATATAGTCAGAGGTTAGAGAGATAGTAGAGATTAATTTCTCTGACTGCTCTAACAAATTATCACAAAACTGATGGACTAGAGCACCATAAATATATTATCTAGCAGTTCTTGACGTCAGGCACCTAAACAGTCTCACGGGACTAACATCGGTGTCCTGAGACTGATATCGTGGGGTTCCAGTGAAAAAGCCATGACCTTGACTTCTCATTCTTACATTCCTGGTTATGGTCCCTTCTCCATCCTCCAAGCCAGTGACACGCTACTCCGGAACGTATAGTTCCTTGGGATTAGGCTGCGGACATCTTAGGGTACTGAAGTCCTCAAGTATGTGTGGGTGTTTGCCTGCTCCCTCGTGGAAATGCAGAGTTGTAGTAAGATGCTGACACATCAGACGGCCATCAGAAGTATCTGGTCAAACGACTGGCAAGTGTTCTTGGTGACTGGCCTTCCAGGCAGCCTGAAATCCAGTCTGCCTCCTCTGTAATACTATTACTCTGTAATAGTTCATAGACTCAGCTACATTTTGTACTTAAAAATATTTTATTCTCTCAAGAGTTTTTGGTATTTTTGGTGATTCCAAGAGTGGACCTTAATATTTTTTATCTTACTCTTTTGGAATTTTGGTATCTTTCTGTCCGGCGGTATTGCCTATGAAAGATTATTTCTTCAAGTTCTCAGTGTAAGGCTCAAAAAATAAGAGTTTATGTTGTGTCCATCCTGGTTGAGTTTGACACTGATTATTTTTTTGACTTGCTTTTTCTTCATGAAAGTGAACTGGGGAAGGAGAGCTGACAAACCTTATTCTGGTTCATATTATGTAGATTGTGTTCCAGATGTTATTAAAAATAAGCTTCTCAGGTGACTGGGTGAATGACTCCCTGGAAAAAGGAATGTTTATTTAAAAGCTTGATATTGTTCATCTGCTTTCCAATATGGTGCTGCTCTGCATAAACTGTCTCCATTAACATGGAGAATCAAATAGTTAGGATGTAAATCTGTGATTACACTTTTAAGTACACCGGGCATTAGATGTCAGCCTTGAAAAGAGCAGAGCCAAGAAGTGTAACAGGGCTACTGTTTAATAAAGAAAAATAATACGATACTTGCAATTTTCACTTGTGCTTCAGCAAGTTGTCTGTCGGAAACATGACAGGGATTCAATTAATTATATTTACCTCTAACTACCATGTATATGTCTCTTCATTTGTTATTTGATTAATCGTATGTTAAAAGTAATTTGTGCGTATAATAATAAAAAATTGAATGCAATGAAACTATACTGCAGTTCGGTCTCAATTTAGATTCCATAACCAGTCTCATCTGTTCTTTGCCCAGTAATATAGAAGCGTATAAAATGAAAGTAACTTATTCACAATCGTCCCTGCCCCTGAAGATAAAGACAGCCGGAAGGCAGGTTCACATTCGTGTAAGCATTATGTTTGAAAGTATTTTTCCCTAAGTGGGATCACAGTATACACTGTTGTGCCATCTTTTACCATAAAAGTATTTTGAGCTACTGTTGTGAAACTGTGGGTTAGGGATACAGAGAATCAAAAAGGGCCCTTTGTTCTTGGGAACTTAACAATCGCATGGAGAAGAGAAACAGTCGCGCAGGGCTGAGACAGGGCAGATAGTTCAGTGGGAGCCACCTGTGTCCTTAGCCAGCTCTACTCTCTCTCTCTCTCTCTCTGGGAGCCACCTGTGTCCTTAGCCAGCTCTACTCTCTCTCTCTCTCTCTCCCTCCCTCCCTCTCTCTCTCCTCTTCTCTCTCTTTCTAGACATACAGCCCCTCAGAAATGACTCTTGAAAAGGAGAAGCGTTAGAAAACTCCGGCTTAGTGTGTTTATATTGTAGACGACATGACGTTACCAGCAATTTGCACTGACTTACCATTCCCAAGTAATCTATTCTAGCTTAACAGCTTATTTTAAGAACCTTACTGCTCACGAGTCTTCCTGCAGAAACATCACTCCCACTTGGGAGTGGAGTCATAATGCCAGTGAACGAGTGAATTTATTATCCTGATGTGGCCATCGGCTTGCATCTGATCTAAAGCCTCTGTAGAGCTGAAAACACGTCCCTGTCTTCATGTATGAGGTTGGCACAGCGGTTAAAAAGGCGACTGGAGGTCGTCTCCCACGGGGCGGCACTAAGAGTATCCGCAGAGCCATGGCTCTTCACTCCCACTTCCTGAAGGTGGACATTTGTCTGTGCGAGCAATATGTGTCTTCTATCGAAAGAAGCTTTTTCTCGTTGCCTTTCTGCTTGTACAGAGACTGCCTTCTGCTCCCGAGCCAAGGAGACTATTTATGTCTGTGTATTTGAATGACGTGGCTTCCAGAGACTAACAGCATCAAACTCAATAAGGAAGCCAATTTAATCAATGGGTAATTTAATCACCGAGACACAGTTATGCACTGTTTTAGATTATGAATCTTGAATGTATAGATTATTTTATTTCATTAGTGTCATTTGAATGGAACATCTTCCTCAGATTTTTCTGTATTTATTATAAAAATATTTTCCTATGTAAAAACTTGGTAGCAAATGAAACAGAGGGCACGTTTATGCAATAACCTGGATTTATGAGTGTTTTAAGACATTCATAGCCTGTTAAGCCAATAATCCTCTAGTTTGTTTTCAAGTTCTCATTTTATATTCTTAATACGTTCTAGTCTAGTCGGATGTGCTAGTTCCTTAGCAAATGGTCCACCCGGTTGCCTGCCCGCAACTAGCACTTTTTTATATATATATTTTACACTCTGTACATTTTCCATCTCAGCTGTGACCCCCGTGGGCTTCCCATCACCACCCCCTCTGTGCCACGGCCAGAGTCCTGAGCGCTCTTCCTGCCCGTTTTGGAGGGCCGCTACGCGCTCCTCGCCCGTTTTGATCCTGTTCCCCCCTGCCAACCCCAGAATGTCTGTGTCTCTGCTTTATAGTTGTTAGTTGATGTTCTTTTTTACTCTGTTACAATTACCATCCTTACCCTCCTGCTATGAGTGAAGCCATCGGTATTTTTCTTTTTCTTTCTGGCTCTTCTCACTGCCCTTCTCCCTTCCAGCCCCACTGGCTTGCTTGAGTTTTCGCTGGAGCCGGCGTTGCCCACGGACACACCATTCCTGCCATTATGTTTCCTTTTTTGTGGCTCTTCTGTTCCCCACTGTGTGTGAAGTCCCCGAGGCCTGGCCTTTTGGCCAGTTGTATTCAGGGCTGCACTGCTGACCTTTGGCACAACGTGTATTGAGAATCCTGAACAGCCAGTAAATATTTACTGATTTGGGGAATTGATTGCAAGATAGAATTTACAAACCCACTGTCAAGGGCCGGGAGAGGGCCAACATTTCTGTCTCCGCTCCACTGGACACTCACTTTTGAACAGAAGGGAACTATTGCTTGTTAAGAATAGCTGATTTGCACCTTGCCTCCCTGTTGTGGGAGAAATCGGATTATTTTTGGAAGGGTAAATGAGAAAATACCTTTTAGGGGGTTGGTAAGCATACCTCCGTGTTCGTCAAGCCCAGTCTGGGGTGACACCTGTTGTCATTCCCTCCTTTCAGAGTCCCCATCTAGGCGAGAAATTACAGCCTTTCCCCAGCCATGGTGCCTGTAGGAATTACAGAAAAGTTCTAGAAACTTCCATCAGAGGAGGAAAGAAATGCAGACAGTATGGAGAAGGTAGTGCTATTCTGACAGTTAGCGTGACGTCAGTTCCAGTGAGGTGGCGGTTTCGTTCCCATGAACTCTGAGATGTAGCTGAGTCCATGAGCTCTGAGGCCAGATGGAGCGTGAAGTGCTCTTTGCTGAAGACCGACGGGACCCTGCAGCCTGATAGTGAGATCGGGGCTAGTGTGCGGTGCGTTCTGCAGCTTTTGACATGTGACGATGGCATATAGTCACTTTTAACTGTGCTGCACAGAATCGTTGACTGTCCTGAAGTCCCCTGTGGACTTGAGGAGAGAAATCAAATACTGCCCCCAAATGAACACGGTGTAAGACTCAAAAGTTTAATAAAAAAAGTAAAATAAAAGAAGGTTCCATTGCTTCACCTGTTCAGGCTCTCCCTCCAGCCCTCGGCCACAGCAGCTGCTGCTTGTTCGCCTGTCACATGGGAGCTTCCACACTTCCATGCTGAGACGCTGCCCTGCCCCTGCGCACTTCAGTTTTACTATATCTTCTCCTAATGTGATCGCTGATTTATCTTTATTGCTAGGTAATAATTCCAATGCTTGGATGTGTAACTGTCCATGCTGAAGACTGTTTTGGTTGATGCCAAGTTTTGTATATTAGGAATAAAACTGCTATACACTTGTTGTGGGTTTCATGGAGGCTTAAGCTTTTGACCCCTCTGAATAAATGCCAGGGGTGTGGTTGCTGGCTCACAGGTTAAGCACTGTTTATTTTGTAAGGGGCTGCTGCTGTGGCAGGCAACTCCACACTGGGGGGGTGGGAGTCAGGAGCAGACGACACAGTGCAGGGTGCTGCCTGAGAGCAAGATCCTGGCTTTTTTATTGATAAACCAGGCCTGCGGCCTTAGCCTGTGGGGAAGCAGAAAAGGAGAGGAGGAGTAGAAGCTGGAGGCCACCCTGCTTCTCACCTGCTGGTAGCTTGGAGTGTAGGCCAACCTGACTCCGCAGGATTCACTCTTGACAGTAAGGCTCCCCTGATCAGATCCAGAGTCCTTTGTTGTATATCCGTTCCGGGTCACACCTTGTGATGCAGACCCTGCCCGGGGTGACCCAGCTTTATGCTCTTAATTGATTTGAAAGTCGCCTTGTGGGGTTGCGCTTCTAGGACTGGGCAGTTCTGACCTTGCTTTAGGAGCACAAAACTATGGTAACAACATGGAGGCTGGACAGGCTGCTTAGGATGAGCAGGCCGACAGGCTGCCAAACTGTCTTTCATAACGAATCTACCATTGTGATCCCAGCTAGCCGTGAAAGAGAGTTCCTGTTGCCCACATGCGTGTCAGCATTTACTACTGTCGCTTTGGGACTTTAGTCATTCTAAAGGGTGTGGAGTTTTACTTGTAATGTTATTTTAATCTGTAATTCCCTGATCACAGGGTGTTGAGCACCTTTTCATAAATGTATTTGCCATCTGGTAGCTTCTTTAATGAGCTCTTTATTCGGATCTTTGGCTGAGTCTTTAATTGGTTAGTTTCTTTTTGTTGAGTTTTAAGAGTTCTGTCTATGTTCTAGATGTGAATCCTTTATTATATAGATATACAAGTATGTATGTATCTATGTATGTCTCACAAAGATGTTCTGTAGCTGTGTCTTAGATTTTCATTAATCTGAAAGTGTCTTTCATAGAGCAGCAGATTTAATGTAAATGAAACCCAAAGGACTAATGCTTTTGGCTTTCCGAGAAGTCTCTACCAAACCCAGGTCACCTAGATTTCTACAGTGCCCTCTTCTAGGAGTTTTATAGTTTT